GACAACGTTCCCCTACCTGGCGCGGACTATCCCATATTTTCGAATTCATTACAGACCTCTGGCTCCAGAGTGATTTATAGGATTTCTCTCGAGAACACATCTCTTTGTTCACCTTCAGAGTGCTCTTATATTCCTAAAATGGTCCCCCTACTAGCCCCAGACCAGTGGTCACCAACCTTTTGAACCTCACAGACACCAGTGGTCTGTCCGCGGACCACTGGTTGGCGACTGCTGCCCTAGACTATCTTTTAGCCAAAGAGGGAGGGGTTTGTTTAATTGCTAACACCTCCTGTTGTTTTTATTTAAACTCTACAGGTCAAATAGAGGAAAGAACACACACATTCTATAGAATACTCAATGGCTCAAGGAGATCAGTCAGGACAGCATAGTCCATATGGTCCAGCCTACAAGCAGCTCTGCCCAAATTAACCTGGCTTTTACCCCGTTTGGCCCCCCTAACACTGTTTCTCCTCCTCCTCTTCCTTGGGCCCTGCACTTTAAAATTAGTTACCAAGTTTATACAAACAAAATTACAAGTTCTAATTAACCAGACAGTAAGACAGTTTTCCTTACCCAGGTAAAGGGACCCTATAGGTCTATATCCCAGGAAATAATCTGAATTTACTCCTTAGGCATCCGTGACACCCCCTCCCATGTAAGAAACAGACAAAGAGAAATGGTGACCCCATTCTTCTTTTCCTTTATATGTACCCTTTAAGATGGGAATGAAAGGGTTAATCAAGAAATAGGACTCTAACTTAGCAGAAACTAAGTTCATTCTACAAGCCTCAGCTTTGCAAATGTTCCCCTTGAGCGAATATCTTATAGGAACCTCTGAGACCACAACTCTTGCACAGCCCAGTTACATGCATTAACAGAGGCTGCTTGCAGCACAGCCCATACACAAGCATCAGCAGAAGGCACCTGCAGCTCTCCCTAAGCACCTAAAAACCTTCTTCCTCCCCCATTCGGCAAACTCATTAGTCAACAGAGCCAAATATCAACAGTACAATGATTGAAATTTCTTTTGAGAGCCAAATTTTTTAAACTTAAACTATATAGGTAGGTACATTGTTATTAACTTAATTAGGGTACTCCTAAGGCTTAGGAATAGCCACACTCAAGGGGCCAAAGAGCTGCATGTGGCTCATGAGCCACAGTTTGCCAACCATGGGCCTAAGCTACCATGAGACCGTTTGACTGTCCTACCAGTACCTATGATGCACAATGGCCACCAGGGGGCAGATGCTAAATGAAGGAGCTGCTGAGCTGCATTGACTTGGCAGCTGCGGTTCTCGGGTGACACACTAGGAACCATAGAAGAGGGAGCCCGATTCTGGGATACATCACCCGAGAACCACCCTCTCGAAATCCAGGACCCCTCGGGGGATGTCAGCCAGTTTCAGCCTGTTCCCCACCGGCCAGGCCAAGGGACTCCACCTGTGCACAAATTCGCACCGGGACTCTAGCCTGAAAATAAAATACCCAAGTCTACCATTTCTTTATCTGAGACTGTACTAATCAAGTTCACTCATGTGATCCTCCCTTCTTAAACTATGATTTCACCTTGTCCATGCCTCTCTTACCATGGACTTTGCACACTATTCTAGTTATTGGATGGAAATCTGTCTTCTCTTCCAGATTTGAGTTTGTAGTGGACAGGGCTGTGCTTTATTAATCTGTGATCTTTCGGAGCTGGTGTAAAATCAGTGCTTACTACACATTTATGGAGTGAATCATTTAAGGGGAGATAGGCACCTCAAAGTACTAAAGGATCAAAGCTGCCACTGAGGTGGGGAACCCGGATGTGGAAGTTAACAGTGTTTCTGGGGTTTGGGAATGGTTGGAGAGAGCTAGTCCATCATACTCAGATGGTGTGTTTCAGCGAAGTCCCTGGGGCAATAGTGCATCATTGAAACAAAAAGGATGTTAGTTTTGTAGAGGAAAATAGAGACACCTTTTCGACAGACACATACTGAGTTGGCTGGGAGAATTTAGGGTCACTGTTATAGTCAACAGCCATTAAAGCGGTGCCTGAAGCAGCTGAGTGAGCGGTTGCATGAAGGAAGCATGTGTGAGGGAGAATCAGAGGCAGTGGGCTGGGTGGCGGACAGCTGACGTCAGCATGGGGGTGAAAGTGCATCCAGGAGAGAAGGTAGCTATTGTGACAGAGACAGGAAGAGAAGCAGCAGCGCAAGGCAGGGCCACAGCAGGTCGCCCAGAAGCAGAGAGGAAAGGTCACATGGTCAGATACTGCTGTGGAGGATCCTAGGTGGACAGAGAATGGGGGTCAGATTTTGTTGTTAGAAGTCACTGATCACATCAATCCTATAGCCCCTGGGGCCAGTGAGAGTGCCCCCAGTGGCCAGGACAGTGATAACAACAGAGAAGCTGGAGAGAGGAGAGAGGGGAAGCACTTACAGAAATACAGTGAAACTCCATTCTGCTTGTCTGTGCTGTCCACCCTCATTCAGTAGAAACCTTTCAATGCAGCTCAATGTAAAGGGAATGAAAATATTTTTCATAAAGGTTTTATCCTGAATCTCATAAAAACAGTGCAGCAAATGCCAAGAATATGGGTCCAGGTTCAGATGCTTCAAACGGACCTCCCTCTTGGCCAAGCGCAGCAGAGGGCAAAGCCTCTCCCGAGACAGGCTGCATTTGAAGATGCTCTCCATCTCTCTCATCCCCTGATCACTCAAAAGGCCAAACAGGAAACACGTGGTTGGTTCCCCAAATAGGTCACGCCTGTCATATACATCTGTCCAGTCTTTTATAATATTGATGTTATTAAAGCAATCACCTTTCAACACTCTATCGCCTAAAGCATAGGACATTGCTGCAAAGAACTCCTGGAAGCACAGGTGAATGAAGCTGTAGCTCCGAGGGGTGGGGTGCTCTTGAAGAACACCCATGTTTAAGAGAGTGGCGATGTTGGCCCCGTCTAACCCGTGTTTCCTGTTGGCCCCATCTAACCCGTGTTCCCTGAAGTCCTCGGGGCTGAACAGAGTCTTTCCTTGACAGGTGCCTTCAGCAGCCAGAGAGCAGAAGCCCCTCAGCTTAGTCCCGAGGGACTGAGTCTGGAGAACGTGGAAAAAGTAGTGCAGACAGAGGGCTGTGGTCGTCTGGGAGGTCAGTGAGAGTGGTTGCTCCTGCTCCATCTGCTGCTTCAGGCAAGTGCAGACCAGACAGGACACCAAAGGCATGAGACACATGGTGAAGAGAGCCGGGTTGGATTCAACCAGCATAAAGGCTCTAATCGCTTGGCTCTCATCTATGAAATATTTGTTGAAATACTCCTTCCTGGCTGACTCGGAGAATCCCAGGACCTCCACCCAGCGAGGATGCTTTAAAGAAGGAATGAGTTTTCCCAGAGTTGTGATCCGAGCAGTGATCAGCAGGGAAGCTGTGGGAAGTAAGGTTTTCTTCAGCAAACTGCCCAGCAGTGTGTGCACCTGCTGCTGCTGGCTCCAGTGTGGACAGAGCTCAGAACTCTGCTCCTTCAAGTCCCACTTTGGTTCATCTAAGTTATCAAGAATGAAGAGCAGCTGCTCTGGCTGAGACAGGATCTGCCCAATGGGAGCATCAGGAGCAGCCCAGTCTTTTGTGATGAGCTCAGCGAGACTCATGGTCTCTGATTGGGCCAGCTCTCTGCAGTTGAAGTAGAAGACATGCTTGAAGCGGTCCCTGAACAGCCAGCCTTCCTCCCAGGCTCTCCTCACCTGCCTGGCCAGGGTTGACTTCCCGATTCCAGCAACTCCATGCACCACGACAGTGGGAGGCTCCTCCTGGGCACTCAGGCCTGGGCCAAATAAGTCTCTGATCTCCATCAACTGTCTTTGTTCACCTACCTCATAACTCAGGAAATCATAGTCTCTGGGTTGAGATCTGTGTAGAAGTAGCAGCTGTGTGAATTTTTGGTGCAAATACTCATTTCTCCATGACTGTGTGGGGCAGGAACTCTCTCTTCTTTGGTTCTTGTATTTTTCTTTGATTCCTAGATAAAGGAGAGAAAGATGGAACAGTTGTTTAATTGTTTCTCCATTTATTCATTCCACATATATTTTTTTTCCCCTGTGTCTACAAATTAGAAAGGTCTTTATTGTGATGGTGGCCATTCCCCAGGAGGAGCCAATGCCGTGGGACACTCTAGCACCATCTTCACTCTCCTCCCTCCTAGGACAAAACAGAAGCCAAATGATGCCCCAGCCCCAGACTCCAGCCCAGGGAGGGGCCCAAAGTCAACCGGAGCCCAGGGACCGTCAAGGAAGCTTATTACAAAGGAGGCTGGAGCGGGGTGGGAAGCAGGGATGGGGCCCTGGCAGCCCCAGGCGGCTGGCAGCCACAGAGAGGGGCATTAGCCCGGGCAGGGTGCGTTGTCCTCAAGTCCCGGAGCCAGCGCAGGGCAGCCTGGCTATCAATACAGTGCAGACTAGAGCCAGAGCGCAGCTCCTCCCAGGAAGGTGTGAGGAAGGGACAGTGCCAGCCTCAGTCTGACCCAGCTCCCAGGCTCCTGGCTGCGCCTCCTGCAGAGGCCTGGAGAGGCCGAGGGTGAACGTGGGTGCGCTCCGGCGAGCCAGAGCGGGCAGGGCCAGCAGTGAGCGCTGCAGGGAGCTGCTGGGAGTAGGGGGTGCAGCCGCAGAGCAGGCAGGGCCAGAGGAGCCCACGGTGGCTTGTGAGGGTGAGGCGGCTCCTCCGCCCCAGCCCCAT